CTCCCTGGGGCCTCTGTGGGGGGTCCTCAGGCTGTGGTTTAGGGGCACGGGAATCTCTTTAGGGGGCAGTGACCCTATGGGGCAGAGGGGGGAATCCCCAGGCCCGGGTTTAGGGGCGCAGGGATCTCTGTGAGGGGCAGTGAGCCCATGGGGTGGGGAGATCCTCAGGCAGCAGTTCAGGGGTGCAGGGATCCCTGTGGAGTGGCAGGGTTTGTAGAGGGCAGTTCCTGGGGCAGGGGTTTAGGGGTGCACTAAACTCTGAGGGATGCAATGCATGTAGGGGCCGTGATCCCATGGGGACAGGCAGCGAATGCAGGAGGAGCCATGATCTTAGCTGGGACAGCAAGTGCCAATGGGTGGCAGCTCCAGGGGTGCAGGCAGGGAAATATGGGAGTTGGTAGGTAGTGGCTGTTGGTGAACCTGGCTTGCTGCCCTCTCCCCACACCAGCTTTCAGTTGCTAAGTGGTAAAAAGTCTTGTGCCTGTGTTTGAGCAGCTCTGGTACAAGTTGTTTTCTACTTGCTTTTGTTTCTCCTTTAGTGCAGATATGTCAAAGCAGGCGCAGCTTATGGAGGTGCTGAAGAAGGAGGTGAGATCGCTGCTAATGGCTGCCAAAGAGGGCTTAACCCCAGCACAGCTGGAGCAGGAGTACATGGCCATGATCGGCAAACCTCTCCCTCTACGTGACTTGGGCTTCCGATCCACCTTGGAGCTGGTGGCAGATATGCCTGAAGTTGTCAGAGTCTGTCCTTATGAGAAAGACACTTTTATCCTCAAAGGTGAGGTTTTGTTTCCTTACGGGTGGAGGAGTTATTTGGAACTACATACTAGTATGAAGTGATGCTCTCAAAACGGGAATGTGCAGGATGAATTCCAGAGCTGTAGGTTGCATATCTGTGTTATTCTTTTTCTCATATAGCTCTGTTTAATTTCTTGTCTTTTAATTTCTTTGTTTTGCCATATTTTGATCTGCCTTTTAATGCTTTTCTGCTTTTTCCTCCTGAAAAATCACACAGGCTTCTAGTTATTTTTGTACATTCTGCATCCTGCACTTAGTTGAGAAACTGCAGTAACATTTCTTAAATGCAGACTACAGCAGGAGCCAAAACCAGGGATGGGGCCTCTCAGGAGAAGTTGTAGATGTTTCCCTCCCTGACGCCATGGGAAGTTTAGTCTGTATCAAAGAACCTTTCTCATTTTCCTTTTCTTTGAGGAAGAGCTGTGGAAACAAAGGGTAGGTGCAAAGAGTTGATTGGGAAGGGTGAAATGATATTTTTTCAGAGTGCTACAGTAAGACAAGAAAAAGTTGTTTAAAAGCATGGAAGAGACCTGGGCTGCTCTCCAGGGAGACCTTGCCTGGGCAGGTGGGTGTTCTATAGTGGGGGTTTACTGTGATTCTGGCTGAGGGGCGCAATGAGCCATTTACTGCTTTCCCAAGAAAACTTGCAGCAGCTGGGTTTCCTGTTGTGATCCTGTATCCAAGAATTTGACCCATCTTCCTACCTGGATCTGAATTTATAGGAATGATGGTGCAGATTGGTTGTTAGATTGGTTGTTGGCTGTTAAATCTGGTTCAGTCCAGTTTGCAAAGGGAGAGGACAAGTGGTTGCCCTGCTGGAAATCAGCCATGATTTAGAGTGATTGCTTTTGAAGGAGGCACCTGCTTCTGAAAAGGGTGGGGGGAAGAGGAAAGAAAGGAGAGAAGAGGAGTTTTGCCTGCATAGAGCTTTTAATGGTTCGCTGTTTTGGTAGACTAATAGTTTATTTCCTTCTGTTGTAGCCATTGCAGATGAGACCACCAAAGCGATTGCCAAACTGGTTGCCAGGCAGAGGAAAAGTGCTAGGGCACGGAAGAGTGCTGCTGTGAAGGCAGATGCTGCTCCTCCCTCTAAGAATCCACAGAGTTTCCTTCGGAGGAGCAGGGCTCCTGTCCTGCCAGCAACGGTGAAGGCTGAGCTGCAGGATCTGCTGAGTTCCTCACCACTTCTGCTCTTGGACTTTGATAAGGCCTTCTTCAGACGCTTTGGCCGGGCATTCCAGTACACGCAATATGGATTTTTCTCCATGTTTGAAGTCCTCAGAAGTGTGTCTGATATCATTGCAGTTGAGCAGACAAGAGCAGGTTCCTTGCTGACCCTGAAGAAGTACCTGGCAAGTGAGATAGAGAAGGAAGAGATGCCGCAAAGTGAGGTGCAGGAAGAGATGCTGCAAGGTGAGGCGGTGTGTTATTTAACTGAAAGCACATAGCTCTCGCAAGCGCTGTGGCCAAGTAACTGTGTTTCAAGTAGATGTTGCTGCATTTCCAGTTGCTGTAGTAGTCCCGGTTCCCCTAGGTTTTAGCACAGAGGGGCTGTGGGGTGCTGTAGAAGCAGCTGCCTCAAGGGAGTTCTCTTGGTAGCAGAGAGCTTAACTGGAAGTTTTCTACAGGTTGCCACCATTTTTTGTTGTGAGGTGAAAGAAGGGATGTTTAGCCCGTTCGGAGTACGGGCTTTCTGAATGTGTGTGCAGGACTGGAATTTCTAGTCATCCCAGGCAATAGATAACAGAACTAGAAGGATCTCTTGAAATTCTGCTCCACAGGCTGGTAAAGCCTTTCTGATGCGCTTTTTGAGACTGAAGGTTTAGCAATACTCTGAAAGGCACAGCTACAATGTTCCACAAAAGAAAACAGAAGACACTGCAGATATCCTCAGTGTTCCCATAACAGCTATGAGAGAAGGCAGAAAATCACACAGTTCCTGCCAAATTCCTGACTTTTCTGAGGAAAATTCATTTTAGCATCGTTCTAGCAATTGATTTAACCCTTAGCATGCTTACAAGAGCAAGTGTTTTTTGTTTTATTTTTTTAAAATTAATAACAGTGAAGGATGCCTTTCAAATGAATCCTCATGAATGTGGTGGCTGTGAATGTTACAAGAGATGAGGAAAACAGCACCAGTGCTTTCAGACTTTAATTTTCAGATGTCTTCTCTTTCTGCTTAATATGTAACACTGTATCAGTCCAATAAAGAATAAAAGCCAAATTATTGTCTTTACAGCAGCACCTGCAGCTGAGATGCCTCCTTTGGAACCCAACTGCGAGACAGAAACCTTCCACCTGACAGCAAAAGAGAAGTCAGAGCCAGTGGAAACACGAGCAGTAGACTTGGGTGATGGCCTCAAACAAGTAAGTGGCTGGATGAGCAATCTGTAGCTTTATCATGTAATCTGGGGGGTGATACTCTTTTCATTGCTTTTGTTTCTGTTGAGTTTGTGTTGTTGATGCACTGCTGCTTCCAAAAACTTTTGTACCTGTTTTAGATGAGTCTGGAGGTGACCAGACTCATGCTGACCTGGTATATAGCTTTATATGCTATGCACGCTAGGTCTTTTTCTTGTCTCTTTCTGGTCTTGAGATCTATGTTACAGATCATCTGAGGTCAGTTAAGCATCATCTTGCTCCCTGATAAGAGTGGTGATTTGTGGTGTACTTACTTGTAATTGGATTTTAATAACTTTGTTCTGAGACTAGCTGTGTGGAATTTCCCCTGCTGCAGTAGGCAGGGTTTAAGTATCAAGCAGCTGTGCGACAGAGCTGGGAAATGGTCCTCAGAGACCTTGATTCCTGCAGTCTCAACTCTACTATTTGGCCGGACTTTGGGAATTTTGATTTTTTTGTTTGTTTGTTTGTTTAGCAGTGTATTTTTAGAAAGAGATGGAGAAGAACAGTATGGAGGCTCTGAACTGCCAAACCTGATTGGGAGAATTTGTTTGTCCCCCCTCTGGTTTTTTTCTTTTGAGCATCTTTAGGCCTTCCTTTTCTCAGGAAAATCCTCCTGAGAGTTATTTCCTCTGCCAAGTTTGTCTTGTGGCTGTATGCAACTGTATGGTTGGGGTGTATAGGCACAGAAAATGTCCCAAGGCATTCTTCCTGAATTCGGTGTTTTGTGCACTAATGAACTCGGAAGCCTGGGACTACGAGTTGGACTTTGTGCAGCTCTTCATAAAACATACTATTTAGAGATTTTTGGCAGGCTGTTCTGATCCTTTAAAGAAATTTTAGTTTGATGTGATGAAGTTCACAGGGAATTCCCCTAGATCAAAAAGTCTGCTTGTGGGAAGGGTTAAAAAGGGGGTACGTGGTCCTGGTAACCCCAACTTCAAGTCAGATTTTTGTTCTTACGTATTGTAAAGGGAACCTGTTTAAAGATCCTAGCAGGATAAGTCTTGGAAGATGTTTGTACAACTAGTATTCCTCATGAAACGCCAAGTTTGCCATTTTGTTTTAAAAAAATCCCTAAAGGGGAGGACAGCAGGTTGGAATCTGTTACTTCGCATATGCAATGAACACTTGTTCATCGGGATGCTGTGAGGTAGAGGGGGAGAGTTGTGACCTGATCCCTGCCCTGCTGCAAGGTATCCGAGTATCCGGTTTTGAGAGACTAATAGCTTAAGTGTTGTAAGGGACAAATGAGGGACAAGGGCTGAGTCAATCCACTCAGCCCTGAGAAGGGTAAAGTATATAAAGCCACGGCTCTCAGCAGCTTTTCTTGCCGCCCTGAGCAGAAGGAAAGGTGTCGTCCACATCACACTGTGACAGCTGCCAGTCCAGCTTAGGGCAAGGAGTTAGCCAGTCTTGCAAGCCATACCTCTTGTGAGCCTGGCTTTACAGTGTGTTCTATTGGTTTATCTGTTTATAATTTTGTTGCTTTTTTGTAAATGTGTTTTTAAGTATGTCTTCTACGTCTTTCACAGAAATGTCTGTTGTCCCTACCAACGTGTGAGCTAGATTATAAAGATCACGTGTGCCCTTAACAGTCTGATACGAAGAGCATTCTTGGAACAAAACTGTCCCTTAGAAATGCCTCTGTTCACAGGCACTTCTTAGAGGAAATCCGTAAACTGTGACGGTTTTTTAGAGGTGATGCTGCTGCTCAGGCTAGGACTCCCTCAGTTGCTCTTTAACTCAAAAATGTTAACTTACTGTTTAACTCAATGTTTTAGTCAAAATTTTAACTCAAAAAAATTCAAGGGCGTTAGCTCTAGCTTAGTCTGCAGAAGGAGAGACTCTTTATCTGCTTCTTTAAAAAATGGTTAAAAGAGCCAGTATTGCAAAAACCCATTGCTTGCATTTGAATTTAGTCAAATAAGCAATGGGGTGTGTGCTGGAAGACAAATTTCCCATACATTGCCTGATGTATAATGCAGTGGTAACTTGTAGCATATTCATGATGAGTAAAATTGAAAAAATTTTGACTTCTGATCATTGGAGGAGTGCTGTTCGTTGGCACAAAAGAAAGCTCTTGAGGCAGTGAAAGTAGGTGATGTCTGATTAAGGTTGCCATCCACACTAGTTCAAGTGAAATAATGTTTTCAGCAGTTGAAGAATAACGCAAAATTGTAAGCTGTACTAACAACTCGTACAAATTTGTCTAGAGTGAGAAAAGAACAGAATTTATAGGTTTTGTTTGTTTTTATCCTTGGGAAATAGCTCTAGTGTGGAAGTGAGATCTATTTGTGCCTTCTGTCACTTTTGAATCATTTTCAGAGTTTTGCTGGTTCAGTCATGCACTCTTTCATGGTCATGGAACATAGAAATAGCATCTTTTGGGGAAAAGCCAGCAAACAGGTGGCTTGTGTTTGGTTTTTTTTGGTGTGGGTTTTTGTTTCGTTTTTTTAGCAATAGCCATTCAATGCTTTTGTCTAAATATGTGACATGACTTCAATTCCTATCCTTTATTCCTTGCAGGAATATGAGCAAGGTATTTTTGTGGCACCCCTCTTTACAGTGGAGGGAAGAAAGAAGGAGGGGAGAGAGTATGAAAATGAATGCTTCTATCACAGGGAAAGTTTTGATCCAAGCTTGCGCAATTTGTTGGGATTCTCCGATATTCAGTAATTCATAGGTCCCCAGGAAAGCAGAACTTTCTTTTTTTTTTTTTACCTTAAGGGAAAGACCAGTCATGTGTTCAATGCATGATGAGACATCTGAGTGCCTCCTTCCTCTTATCCCTTTGTAGCCTCAAGATTTGGAGCAGTCCCTACTAGACAAGTTGATAATGACTCCAGAAATCCCCCCAGATGCTGTTCAGGACAGAAGCCTTTGCAGTTTACCACCACTGGAGAGAAGGTGCTTGGTGGGAGTCTTTGTGGAATTCATCGTCTCTCCTAGCCAGTTCTACATCCACATCTGCAGCAGGGAAACATCTGATAAACTGCAGGATATGATGATTGAGATGAGGTGCGAACATGCTATGCCAACTCAATACTACTACCCGTTGTGTGTGTGTTTGCGCTGAGGGAACAGGGCACCCAACTGTTAGTTATGGTCACTGCTGGCTTGATTACTTGATACGGAGATGCCAGTGCTGTACTGAAACACATACTCACAATGCTTACCCATTCCTTTTAACTAGCAAGCAATAAGTATGGTTAATAGCAATCCATAGTAGTTTGGCTCTGTCCTAGACAGTCTTAAACTTTAGAAGCCAGGAGAGGTTATGGAAAGGAACTTTAGGGTTCCTTTGCACCTCTCTATTGTCTGTGCTACTGTTGCTAATGTGCTCAGTTAAGGCTTTTACTTCCATCTCCAACGCTTAGCAAAAGCAACAGGTAATAGGCCTTTGTCATATCTATATTTGAAAGCAAAACCCCATCAGTGGCTTTGTGTCAGTTACATTATGCATTTGGGATTCTATTCCACTACAATAGTGCTACAATTGCTGTTAACTGTGTGCCAAAGTAAATGCTTGATGTCCGTGGGGCACGTGTAAGTGTGATTACAGACTCTGCAGACAGATACTGTGTATGTGAGCCAGTACTCCAGAACCTGGATCATAAGAAGCACTGACATGTCAAGGTAATGTTAAAAATTAATGACTAGAATGACTGTATTTAGCCTCTGATTAATCCTCATTAATTAACTTTTTGTTGGACCCCAACAATATCATTCAAATGTTAAAAGTTTGGGTTTGCATTTTTTATTGTCATTTCAGTTTAAGTATAGCAGAACAGAGATGTAAAGCATCTATTAAAATAACTCCTGAAAATCCATGTCATGGGGACTTTGAGAAATCAGGTTTCTTCTGAAGCCCCGTATATTTCTCGTTGTTCATCTCCTGCATCCTACCAAGCACAGTTTTTCATTATGATCTTTTGCAGGCACTGTTACTCAAATAAACTTGTTTCTGATCGTTATATCATGCCTGAGTCTTCGGTACAGCCTGGACAGCTTTGCTGTGTAACGGTCTCAAAATGGTGGTACCGCGTTGTCATCCACCGTGTGATCAATGACCAAGAAGTAGAGGTGTTCTACCCAGATTACGGAAACCTCGAAATTGTCCGAAAGTCTTGGCTGAGATTCCTCAAGTAAGTAAATTGCACATGGGTGACAGAATCACAGAATTGCTGAGGTTGGAAGAGACCTCTGGAGGTCATCCTGTCCAACCTCCCTGGGCCATCTAGAGCAGGCTGCACAGGACCATGTCCAGACAGCTTTTGAATGTCTCCAAGGATGGAGACTCCATGACCCCGCTGGGCAACACGTTCCAGTGCTTGGTCACCCTTGTGGTAAAAATGCTGCTTTCCAGCCAGTTGGCCCCCAACATGTACTGGTGCATGATGTTGTTCCTCCCCAAGTGCAGGACTTCGTTGAACTTCATGAGGTTCCTGTCTGCCCATTTCTCTATCCTGTCGAGGTCTCTCTGAATGGCAGCATGACCCTCTGGTGTATCAGTCACTCCTCCCAGTTTTGTATCGTCAGCAAACTCACGGAAGGTAGACTCTCCTCCATCGTCCAGATCGTTAACGAAGATGTTGAACAGTATTGGACCCAGTATTGACCCCTGGGGTACAGCGCTACTTCCTGGCCTCCAACTAGACTTTGTACCACTGATCACCATTCTCTGGGCCTGGCCCTTCAGTCAGTTCCCAGCCTACCTCACTGTCTGCTCATCCAGTCCATGCTTTATTAGCTTCTCTGTGAGGATCGTAACAGGACACAGTGTCAAAAGTATGACAGAAGTCAAGGTAAACAATACCCACTGCTCTCCCCTCACCTACCAAGCCAGTCATTTCATCGTCGAAGGTTGTCAAGTTGGTCAAGCATGACTTGGTGAATCTATGCTGACTACTGCCAGTCACCTTCTTGTCCTTCATGTGCCTGGAAATGGTTCCCAGGATTAGCTGTTTCATCGCTTTCCCAGGGATCAAGGTGACGCTGGCTGACCTGTCTTTCTTCAGAAAGACATCCCAGCTTGCAGATTTCCTAGAAAGGATCTGGGATTTTATTCCATTAATGGTGCCCTGCAGGCACTTCCTTGCTTACATGCTAATGCTTGAGGTGACATTGTTTAAGACCTGTTTTGCTGATCGCACCAGGCCCTTTGCTCATCGACCCTGTCCATCGCTTCCTCACAGTGACTTTGGGCTGAATCCTTTCCTGTTTCTGCCTTCATTCCTCAGTCTTTCCTCTTGCCATTTTCTGTTACTTTGGGGCAAGCTCCCTAATCCTCATTCCTGGGTTCCGTGAAGGGATGTAAACATCCTCCTGAATGGATATCAGTCCAAGTGGGGACGCGTTTGCAGTATCAGAGGTACTCGTTTTGCTCTGCGATTCAGTACCTTTTCCATGTTTGCTTCTGCCCTCTCATTTGCCTCTATTCATGCCTGGCCATTGGCATTCTTTGGTTCAAAAGTCATCGTTCTCTGTCCATAACTTTGTAATCGTAAGGGGTTACGATTAGAAGATGCTTGGGCAAGGGAAGGCAAAAGGGACCAGTTGTTATTGCTATTTCTGCTGTGCCCGTTCTCTGGGCATGGAGTGTTTTCCAAAGCTGCTGTTGGGTTTTATTCCTAAGCGCAAAATCCAATACGTGCCTCTCTATTCCTAAGCTGGTTTTAAAACCCAGAAGAGGAGGAAGTTCTGCTCTTCTGCCTGGGTTTGCTTTGGTTTTGCTGTAATGACGATGGCTTTGTTTTGTATTATAGGTGGTGCTACTTGAAGCTCCCTGCTCAGGCCATCCCGTGTTCCTTGGCGTGGGTAAAACCTGTGGAGGTATGTGTTCACATGCAGTTTTGTTTATTGACATATGTATGAGAGCTATCAAGTAGAGGTTGGCTTTTTCTCCTGATAAGGGCGAACGTTTGGATTAATTCAGGTCCCATTGATGTTTACAGTGAATTGCTGCTGTTATGTTCAGCAGAGTACGACTGTGAAAGTCTCTTGTAAGTGATCACCCTTCCGCTGTCTGTTTTCCTTATGATCAGAGTATTCTTGCTTATATCATTGCAGAAACAGATAGCTACTGTTAAGCAAACGAGCAAACTTGTTTTTTCCCATGCCAGTAGTTCTCCAGGGTCCCTCTGAAGCCTTGGTAGCTCCAGCCCTCTGTTTTAAAAATTTCTTCTGTGACGGAGCTTTAAGTGAGTTGGTTTGATGCAATCAGCATAGCCAAAGAATTATAGAGTTCATAAGAAAGTTTCTCTGTGCTGGGAAACCTCTTGGTCAAGAAGCCTGAGAAATACAGTCTCTAAAGGAAAGCATGTGAGCAGAGTTGCTGCTTCTCTGTTTTAAAGACATTGTTTTTAAAAAGTTATTTCCTCTGTTTTTTTGAGGGTTGAAGAATCACAATTTTCATTGTAGTGAGGCTTAGCAGCTTCTTAAAAACTTTTGATACTTTTAACATTTATAATCACATGATTCCAGGAATTAAAAAAAAAAAAACAAACAAACCAAAACCAAACGAACAACTGTATTTTAGGCAATTGTGATAAAATCACTGGTGAATGCTATCGAACCGTGTTTGGAAATAGGTATTTAGGGTGAAAGGGCATTCCCAGTGTAACTAGCATTGCAGACTTTGGGGTAGTTTGATTTAGTTCAGTGCTGAGAAGCTTGTCTGCCTGACTTTCCTGTATTTGTTCCTAGCCTGACCTAGCTTAATTGCCTTTTTGACAAGCGTCCACAAGGGAGAGTCTCAGGCGGTGGATGTTGGGTCTGTTTATAGTAACTTTATATTCTTGTTTCTTCTTCAGGATACATGGTCCAATGCAGCAACTCTCCTATTTAAGAAGCTGTGTGTCTCCAAGTTACTTGTGGGCATCGTGGATGAATACGTGAATGGCATTTTGCATCTCTTCCTGTGTGACACATCCACTGAGGAGGATGTCTACTTCCACTGTGTCTTGAGGGATGGGGGATGTGCCGACATCTGCGGAGAGAACATTCCTTCCCAGGTCAGGAGGAAGGCGTGTGCTGCTGAAAGGAAGGGCAAGGAAAGGATCGGTTGGGTGCCTGTAATGGGAAGATATTTTCATCCTGTCTTCTAACAGTGGTTTAGAAGGTTTTGATTTCTTTTTTTTTTTTTAAGTTGATTAGCTTGTTAGTATTGCAGATTCATCTGGAGCTGACACACATCTTGTATAAATAACATGGAAAAGTAAAATAGCTACAGATGTTCTGAGCATAAGGCCAAATGGAGATGGATTGAGAGGTTGTTAAGAGATGTGTTAGTTACTTCACTACCCGTTGTTAATTCCAGCAAGTTTTGTTAGTCATAAAGTTGAGGCCCCTGATTCATCCAAACAATTAATGAGAGCAAGTGATTAGATTTTATTGTCTGACTTAAAGTAGTGCTACACAGTGGCAGGGGCAGTTGAGTGAGAAACAGGATAGTTAAATGAATTATTTTGGCTTTCTCTGCTCTAGGCATTGAAGATTGGTTATGTCATTAACAAATTGAATTATGGAAATGGTCTTGGTTTAAAAAGTCTCTTACTTTGCCAGTGAAATGTACAATGTTGGACAGCATAACCGTGGTAGATTGCACGTTGTGCCTTGGACAGACATTCAAGTTGTAAGCCAGTGCAGGGAGCATTTATGATGTAGGCCCATCTATGTCATTAACTGAATGTCTCAGCTCAGTTTCAGTAAGAACTGTGTGGATATGAAAACCCTTAGAAAGGTAGTGCCACGATTTTGTATCTCAGCAGAAAGTCAGGCTTTGCAGCCCAGAGTGCTTGTATCTGTTGTTTTATTCAATAGATGCAGAATGTGTGTTTTGGCAGGATTAGATCCTATGATTGGACATACACGTGCAAAAATATAACTCGGGGGGGGCATTGCTGGGTAATTTTGTTGCTGGAGGGAGGGGAGTTGATTTTTGTAGTAGCTCCAAATTCTTGCAGAAATTGTCTTAACTTGTGGGTGGTGTGCTTCTTCATAAAACCTATTAGAAATTCACTGAATCCTTTTTATTCTTTGTGGCAGTTACAACATGGTTTTCTTGACTATACTGGGTTGGGTTTTTTTCGTTTGTTCCTAGGGATTCAAGGAACTGAATCCTTCAGCCTTGTATGTTCAGCCCAGTGGAAAGCAGGAGAATGCTGAACTGGTGGAGCCAGACCTT